CTCAATCCAGAGCATTTCAGATTGCTGGTCTTTGTGGGGGTGGGATCCGCCGAGTCAGATCACCAGGCTCCCTGCTTTCAGCGCCCTCTTTTTTAGTTGAATGGGCGGCTCTGTCTCCCAGGCGTTCCAGGCACCAGTTGAAAGGGCTGCCCAGATTTGTGTGAGTTTTTTTGCGGAAACTCATGGCACCGGTTGAGACAGCCGTGCTGAGAACTCAATGGCGCTTTTTGGCCTGGGAATCTCCTGGTTTGTGGGCGGTAAAAACCTTTGCGTTGTTCTTGCTGGGAACTGCACTACAGAGCTGTTCCTACTGGGCCATTTTGCCCAGGTATCGTGAGAAGTTTTATATCACTGGGGCAAAAGGAAAATCAGTTCTCCCAGTGAGTACATATAAGTTATGAAGGCTGAAAAATCCAAGATGAAGGTGCCAGCACCTTGTGTGGGCCTTGTTATTGCATCCTCATGGAGTAGAAGGCAGAGGGCAAGAAAAGATGAATGTGTGTCCTTACATGGCAGAAGAGTGAAGGGCTAATTTTTGTATTTTTAGTAGAGATGGGGTTTCACCATGTTGGCCAGGCTAGTCTGGAACTCCTGACCTCAGGCCTCGGCCTCGCAAAATGCTGGGATTACAGGCGTGAACCACTGCGCCCGGTCCATGTACCTTTTAAAGACTTAAAAAATATCCAACATGTCAAGTAGACAGTTGGAGTTCAGTGAAGAGCTCAAGGCTGTTAATGTAAAATTCAGGGCATGGAGTCTAGGTCTAGTAGCATGAATGGTTCAGTAGAGAGGGGAGAATGATGCTGGAACTACAGGAATAAAATCCTTGAGAAGGTTAGAGGAGATTAGGTCCAAAGTATAAGGGAGGGATTGGCCTTTGGTAATGGTAGGGACATTGTGTTCTGCTGTCAGTGAAGGCAGAGAGTCTGGTATGTTTAGGTCAGGAGATTTGTTGGTGGGAGGATGAGTGAGTTCCTAGCTGTTTGCTTCTATTATCCTAGTGTTTTATGAGACAAGATCATTAACACAGTGAAGAGTTGGGGGAAGGAGGGATTGGCACTTCAGAGGCAGAAGTTACACTGAAATGCATAATGCAAGAGGTAGGGATCTGGTTTTCATTGATAAGCTTAATTAGTACTCTCTGAAGCCCACTGTCTAGTCCTTTTTGGGCCAAGCAATATTGTTTTGTCAATACTATTACAAGATAGCCTTGATGATATGCAGAAATACTGTATTTTAAAAATTATCCTGTTAGGCTGAATTTAATCAGAAAAGCAAATGGGTCACCTAGTGTAAGTTGGCTATTGTTTTAAATTTCTTGACAATGCCAAATTTACTTAATTAGCATTCTGTTGATATTTTCAATTCCTGATTTAAAGGAAAAGAAGGCTGTCACAGTTAAATGGTATTCCTGAAAGTGTGGTCCACAAGTTTCCTGGATCAGAATTGCCTGGAGGTGCTTGTTAAAAATGCAGTTTCTTGTTTTTTTTTTTTTGGAAACAGTCTTGCTCTGTTGCCCAGGCTGGAGTGCAGTGGCACAGTCCTGGCTCACTGCAAACTCACTGCAACCTGTATCCCCCCCGGGTTCAAGTGATTCTTGTGCCTTAGCCTCCCCAGTAGCTGCGATTACAGGTGTGTGCCACCACACCCCAGCTATTAAAATTTTTGTATTTTTAGTGGAGGTGGGGTTTCGCCATGTTGGCCAGACTAGTCTGGAGCTCCTGGGCTCAAGGGATCCACCCACCTTGGTTTCCCAAAGTGCTGGGATTACAGGCGTTAGCCACTGCGCCCGGCTAAAAATGCAGTTTCTGATTCCTGTTGTTGTAGAGTAAGGCTTATGAAAATGTTCTATTTGCGTTTTTTGTCTTTGCCACTAGATTGGGAGATCCCTGGAAGTCTTTTTTTTTTTTTTTTTTTTTGTAGCCCCAGTACCAAGCATATAGTAGATGCTTGATAAATGTCAAATCAGTGAACGAATGACCCACAGATATCAGATATCCTCATCACATTGTAAAATACTTGTTGAGTTGTAAAAATTACTAAGGGAATACAGGTCTGTGGTGAAAATGAACAGTACAGAAGCATATAAAGTAAAAACTGAAAGTCTGCCTTCACATGCATGCATCTTCCCATTCTTCTGAGGTAATAATTGTGAGTAATTTGGCAGTGTTTTTTTCTAGAGATTTATCTGTAGTCATATAAAAGCATACATAATCTTTATGATTTAAGGCCTTAGTTTTAGAGAAAATATCTGGCCAGTCACAGTGGCTCACGCCTGTAATCTCGGCAGTTTGGGAGGCCGAGGCGGATGGATCATCTGAGGTGAGGAATTCGAGACCAGCCTGGCCAACATGGTGAAACCCTGCCTCCACTAAAAATACAAAAATGAACCGGATGTGGTGGCGTGTGCCTGTAATCCGAGCTACTCCAGGGGCTGAGGCAGGAGAATCACTAGAACCCAGGAGGTGGAGGTTGGAGTGAGCTGAGATCATGCCACTGCACTCCAGCCTGGGTGACAGAGTGATACTGTGTATCAAATAAATAAAATAAAGGAGAGATCTTCTTTGGATCTTTTATAACTTAAAAAAATTGTTTTTTTTCTTTGTCAGCCAGGCTGGACTGCAGTGATGCCATTATAGCTCACTGAAGCCTCGAATTACTCAAGGGATCCTCCTGAGTAGCTGGGAGGATCCCACATCCACCTAATTTAAAAATATTTTTTGTAAAGACAGAGTCTCGCTATCATGCCCATGCTAGTCTTGAACTTCTGCTCTCAAGTGATCCTCCAGCCTCAACCTCCCAAAGTGTTGGGATTACAGGCGTGAGCTACTGTTTTCCAGCTTTTTATAGTTTTTGAGATTTTTTTTTAAATGTATCTTTAAAGCCTTCCAATGTTATTTCTTAGTCCTTTCATGACAGAGTTCGGCTCTTCTTCCTTCAATGCATATATTCTTTTTTTTTTTTTTTTTTTTTTTAATGACGTGGGGGTGGGTCTTGCTGTATTTCCCAGGCCAGAGTGCAGTGACTATTCACAGGTGTGATCATGGTGTACTGAGGCCTCCAACTGCTGGGCTGATTTAATCCTCCTACCCACTGTGTGTGTAGTTGGGACTACAGCACACCTAGCCTGCATATATTTCCTTTTTTTTTGTTTTTTGTTTTTTGGAGACAGAGTCTCGCTCTTTCACCCAGGTTGGAGTGCAGTGGTGAGATCTTGGCTCACTGCAACCTCCACCTCTGGGGTTCAAGCGATTTTCCTGCTTCAGCTTCCTAAGTAATTCGGACTACAGGCACATTCTGCCACATCCAGCTAATTTTTATATTTTTTAGTAGAGATGGGATTTCGCTATGTTGGCCTGGCTGGTCTCAAACTCCTGATCTCAGGTAATTGTTCCCCTAGGCTTCCCAAAGTGCTGGGATTACAGGCATGAGCCAGTGTACCCAGCCTCCTGTTTTCTTATTTTTTCCTGTTAATATGTCAGCTAGTCTGCAAATATTTTCTTTCTTTTTTTTTTTTTCTCTTGAGACAGGGTCTCACTCCCATCATTCAGGTGTGACTGCAATGACAATGGTGCTATACCATGGCTCTCTGCAGCCTCCACCTCTTAGGCTGAAGCAATTCTCCAGCCTCATTTTTTTTTTTTTAATACAGACAGTTTCACAGTGTTGCCCAGGCTGGTCTTTAACTTCTGGGCTCAAGTGATCCTCCTGCCTCAGCTTCCCAAAGTGCTGATTACAAGCGTGAGCCACTGCATTCAGCTGCCTGCGTATATTTTCTAAGAATAGTAACATGAGCCTTGAAATACATTCTAGGGACTTGTACCCCTGGTAGTGAATTTTACTTGGAAAAGATACCAAACAAAATCTGCCTTCTTTCTGACCATGTATTTCTTCCTTAGTGTGATTTCCTTGGACTGCTTCACCTGTTGGTTACTATCTCACCTGGAATTTGATATTTTCACTTAGGGATTTGGGTGGGGCTCTCTGTCTTGTAACTTTTTGCATCATGTTTCTGATCCTTTGTTCCTTTGGACTGACCCCTCAAAAAACAGGTGTGTGTGCAACACAAAAGTATGTAAGAAGATGGATGAAGTCTGAGTCAGTTTTTGGTTTATGTAATATATAGTGCTGTTTACTAACAACCAACATCACATATTGACCTATACCTGGGAAATCGTATACCCAGCAAGAGTTTTCTTTCCTGAGTAAAGAAAAAAACTTGAAGTCTACTACTGAAGAAGTCCAACGTATAGTGGTTGAGAAATGCATAGGAATTTTAATCAACAAGTTGAGCCATCATATATTTTGAAAGATTAGAAAAGTATACAGGCAGTGCAATATCAGCCTCTAGGCCAAATAAAAAGCCCTAAAGAAGTGGCTAAGTCTAACTTTTTTTTCTTTTTTTTGAGATGCAGTCTTGTTCTGTGGCCTAGGCTGGAGTGCAGTGGCACCATCTTGGCTCGCTGCAACCTCTGCCTCCCGGGTTCAAGTGATGCTCCTGCCTCAGCTTCCAGAGTCTCTGGGATTATAATAGGCTCACACCACCACGCCTGGCTAATTTTTGTATTTTTAGTAGAGATGGGGTTTCACCTTGTTGGTCAGGCTGGTCTTGAGCTCCTGACCTCAAGTGATCCACCACCTCTGTCTCCCAAAGTGCTGGGATTACAGGTGTGAGCCACCACACCCGGCCTAAGTCTAACTTTTAATACGTAAAACCTGGAATTCCTTATAGCTGTTATGTCCCCCTCCTTTAGCATTTTGATATCCTCTGTGGACTATGTGTCACCACACCTGGGCTGGAGTTTGGATCTGGCTGACAGTGAAAGTCCAGCTGGCTGCTGTTGTGATTCTAATTTCCTAAGGGTTTAAAGTCATTAAAACCTTATTGTATTTCAGGAATTCTGATCGGTTGTTTTCTTCACTAATTTGGGACTTTGATATTTGGTTGCTTATGATGTCGATAGCCCTTGTTTTATAAAGTATCTCTTTTATTTTTGCAGTTACATTCTTAATGTCCAGTCAAGCAGTGATGGCACCAGTGGGTCTTGTAAGTACAGTCCACTCAAAGCAGTAACCTATCGAAGTGCGTTTGTAGAGAAGACTCAAATGTGATTTGGGATGTCTGGCCTAAGCTGGTTCTGGTTCATGACCTCTAGTGCTGTCTTTGGGTTGGTGAAATGAAATTTCCCTACTGTCAGGAGTGGAGGAGGGCCTCTGCTTCTTTTCCAACTTACTTCCTTTCCTCTTTTTTTTTTTTAATTTTGTTTTTGGCTCTGGGTTTTCTTTTATTTCCTTTCATGGGAGATGTAAATTTTAATGAGTTTTAATTTATAGACTTTGGTTTTAGGGAGTTAAAGACATAGGCAACCAGATTTTATCATGCTTCAGATGTTTTCTAATGCCTTCTTTCTCTGATTTAGCTGTGGCCAGAGCAGCTCCGCAGAGACAGGGCAGGTGAGTAGGAGAATTAATGAAACTTGACTTTTTTTGTTTTTTAAGGGGGAAAGCCCAATGTTCTGGGTAAGGAAATTTAAGAGTAAACTTCACATTTCCTCTGTGAACACTCTGATTTTCAGCAGAATCATGATGGCTTTTTGACATTGCAACCACGTTCAAAACATTGGATTCTTTATTTCTGACCCATTATCTAAGTGGTCAGTTTCTTCTGCAAGGTATCTCTGTGAACTGTGCCTTAACATCCAGGTTTTACTAGTCTATGCTCATATCAGTCTTTATTCCTTTTTATTTTTACTTTTTTAAAATTAATTTATTTATTTTTTAAGATGGGGTTTTACCATGTTGAGTCATGCTGGTCTTGAACTCCCAACCTCATGTGATCTGCTCGCCTTAGCCTCCAAAGTGCTTGGATTATAGGCGTGACCCACCACGCCCAGCCTTTGTTTTTACTTTTATTTTTTGTGAGATAGAGTCGTGCTCTGTTGCCCAGGCTAGAGTATAGTGGCACCATCTTGGCTCACTGCAACCTCAGCCTCCCAGGTTCAAGTGATTCTTCTGCCTCAGTCTCCAGAGTAGCTGGGATTATAGGCACACCCCACCGTGCCTGGCTAATTTTTGTATTAATAGAGATGGGGTTTCATCATGTTGGTCAGGCTGGTGTCGAACTCCTGATCTCAAGCGATCCACCTGCCTCGGTCTCCCAACATGCTGGGATTACAGGCGTGAGCCACCGCACTCGGCCTAATTCTAACTTTTAATATGTTGAACCTGGAATTCCTTAGAGCTATTATGTCCCCTCCTTCAGCATTTTGATACCCTCAGTGGACTACGTGTCACAATAACTAGTAACAAGATGACCTATGATGTAGCCAGGCACCACATTGGAGGAGTGGCAGTGGCGGTGAAGTGACGCTCACCACAGTGTGATTTCTCTGGGCTGGAGTTTGGATCTGGCTGACAGTGGAAGTCCAGCCGGCTGCTGTCTTGGTGAGCTCTGAAGGGTTCCGAGCAGGAACTGCTTGGCTTCACCTCAGGCAGTGCCGCACAGCTGTCCGGTAAGTGGTGGCAAGAGGTAAAGTGGCCTGCCACACAGCAGTGGAGAGTGAGTGCCGAGGCCGCTGGCAGATGAGGCAGAGAAGCAAGAGGCCCCAGCATCATGGCTCACTGCAGGGAGCAGTTGTAGCTTTGAAGCCATCCTTCGTTGGTTCCCCATGAAACGGAGTTCAGTACTTGTCCATTTACCTAGATAGCAATCCCAAACAGTAGGCTGTCTCCAAGAAGTACACCCTGAAATGGGGCCTCCTTGCCCTTTCGCCCTTTGAATTTTTAGCTGCAATCTCTTCATCCTCACTCAAGTCTTTTCCCCTGTGGCCCCTTCCTTAAGACTCACTTTCATGTCTTTATTTTTTATTTTGTCTTTAGAAACAAGGTCTTGCTGTGTTGCCCACACTGCAGTGCAGTGGCACCATTGTAGCTCATTGGAACCTTGAATTCTGGGCTCAAGTGATCCTCCCCGCTCAGTCTCCTGAGTTGATGGGATTGCAGGCGTGAGCCTTTCATACTTTAAATAGAAATAAATTACTTGGCAGAAAGCAGGCTTCTCACTGATAGCTACTGATAGTCAGCTAACATTCTTTCCGTCCTTGATTCAGTAGTAAAGACTGAGCAGCAGCTCATTGCTTCTAATGTTTGTTCACTTCTGCTGTTGTGATTCTAACTTCCTAAGGGTTTAAAGTCTTTAAAACCCTTTTGCATTTTAGGAATTCCGATTGGTTGTTTTCGTCACTTACTTGGGATTTTGCTATTTGGTTGCTTACGATGTTGGTAGCCCTGGTTTTATAAAGTATCTCTTGTTTTTGCAGTTGCATCCTGAATGTTGTCCGGTCAAGAACTGGTAACACCAGTGGGTCTTGTAAGTACAGTCCACTCAAAGCAGTAACATATTGAAGTGCCTTTGTAGAGAAGACTCAAATGTGATTTGGGATGTCTGGCCTAAGTTGGTTCTAGGTTCAGGACCTCTAGTGCTGTCTTTGGGTTGGTGAAATGAAATTTCCCTACTGTCAGGAGTGGACGAGGGCCTCTGCTTCTTTTCCAACTTACTTCCTTTCCTCTTTTTTTTTTTTTATTTTTGTTTTTGGCTCTGGGTTTTCTTTTATTTCCTTTCATGGGAGATGTAAATTTTAATGAGTTCTAATTAATAGACTTTGGTTTTAGAGAGTTAAAGACATAGGCAACCAGATTTTATCATGCTTCAGATGTTTTCTAATGCCTTCTTTCTCTGATTTAGCTGTGACCAGAACAGCTCAGAAGAGACAGGCCAAGTGAGTAGAAGAATTAATGAAACTTTGCTTTTTTTTTAAATGGGGGAAAGCCCAATGCTCTGGGTAGGGAAATTTAAGAGAAAACTTCACAGTTTCTCTGTGGACACTCTGGTTCTCAGCAGGATCACTATTGGTTTTTGACATCACTATCAGGTTCGAAATATTAGAGTCCTCATCCCCGACCCATTATCTAAGTGGTCAGTTTCTTCTGCAAGGTACCTCTGTGAACTGTGCCTCAATATTTTAGGCTTTACTAGTCTAAGCACTTATCAGTGTTTATTCCTTTTTATTTTTATTTTTAGTTTAGTGGTTTTTGAGATTGAGCGTTGCTCACCCAGGCTGGAATATAGTGGTACAATCTTGGCTCACTGCAACCTCCACCTCCTGAATTGAAGTTATTTTTCTGCCTCACCCTCTCGAGCAGCCGGGGTTACAGGCACGCGATACTACACCTGGCGAATTTTTGTGTTTTTAGTGGAGACGGGGTTTCACCATGTTGATCAGCCTGGTCTTGAACTTGTAACCTCAAATGATCCGCCTGCCTTGGCCTTCCAAAGCACTGAGATTACAGATGTGAGCCACTGCACCTGACCTGTTTACTTCTTTTTAAGTGGCGTCCTCACCTTGGTCTTTTACTCCAGTGTACTTATAGCTGAATCTACTGAGGCACTGCTTTGGTTATGTCAGTCCCCAGTTCAAATAGCTCATAATAGAAAAATCAAGCTGTTTACCCCAACAATAATTAACACCTTCTGTGACCTGGCCATAACCTATCTTTCAGCCTCATCTGCTACTCTTCCTATTAATGAATCCTCTGCTCTAGCCAGAGCTAGATGGAGGGTTGTTGCCCAGGTGCCAAATTATAGGGGTTGCTGAAAAAAATTGCTGGAGTAAATACGCAGTATGGTTATAGATAACTATGGTTTCCCCACTGATTTCTTGAATTACTTACTGTACAAATGCGAATTGGTCATTCTTGTTCCCCCCATCAAGCCAAATAGTGCTGTCAGGTAGGGAAGGGTTGTGTTCTGGCTAGCTCTGATCTCTGTTGAGGGTTTTTACAACATATAAGACACCAACTCCTGACACCAATGTGTTAAATGTCATTTAAAGTCAGCAGTTGCAGTTTTGGCGCAGCGGCTCATGCCTATAATCCCAGCACTTTGGGAAGCCAAGGTGGGCGGATCACTTGAGGTCAAGAGTTTTTGAGACTAGCCTCGCCAAGATGGCGAAACCCCTTCTCTACTAAAAATACAAAAATTAGTGGGGTGTGGTGGCATATGCCTCTAATTTCAGCTACTCAGGAGGCTGAGGCTTGAGAATCACTTGAACCTGGTAGGTGGAGGTTGCAGTGAGCCACGATTGTATTACTGTACTTGAGCTTGGGTGAATGAGACTCTCAAAAAAAATGATGTCAGCAGTTGCAATCAGCTGAAATTCTAATGCCGCATAAGGCATTGTATGAAGCCATTAATCGTTGATGATCAGTTTTATTAATTGTATTTTTAAAGTCAGGCTTATTTATTTAAAGTTTCACTCTTGTTGCCCAGGCTGGAGTGCAATGTTGTGATCTCGGCTCACTCCATCCTCTACCTCCTGGGTTCAAGTGATTCTCCTGCTTCAGCCTCCTGAGTAGCTGGGATTACAGGCATGCACCACCATGCCCAGCTGATTTGACATTTTTAGTAGAGATGGGGTTTCTCCATGTTGGTCAGGCTGGTCTCGAACTCCCGACCTCAGGTGATCCGCCCACTTTGGCCTCCCAAAGTGCTGGGATTACAGGTGTGAGCCACCGCACCTGGCCAAAAGTCAGGCTTACTGAGCTATGGTTTACATATGGCAAAATTAATTCTTTTTAGATGTACAGTTTGATAGATTTTTGACAACCATATGTGGTAGTGTAACCATCACTACTATCAAGATGCAGAGTGTTTCCATTGCTGTTCTATCATGGCTCCTAAGAAGTATTCTGGTATATAATGTTGTACATAATTAAGTGTTTATTAGATAATTGAAGTGTATCTGATTTTTAAATGGAAAAAATAGTTTCTGGCTAGGTGTGGTAGCTCACGCCTATAATCCGAGCACTTTGGGAGGCCAAGGCGGGCGGATCATTTGATGTTGGGAGTTCGAGACCAGCCTGACCAATATGTAGAAACCCCGTATGTACTAAAAATACAGAATTAGCCGGGTGTAGTGGCACATGCCTATAATCCCAGCTACTCAGGAGGCTGAGGCAGGAGAATTGCTTGAACCTGGGAGGCGGAGGCTGCAGTGAGCTGAGATTGTGCCATTGCACTCCAGCCTGGGCAACAAGAGCAAAACTCTGTCTCAAAAAAAAAAAAAAAAAAAAAAAGTTTCTCCCAGCCTCTGCTAGATAGATGGTGAAGAAATATTTTTTAAAAATCAATTTTAAGGGGCCTGCAAGGAGTGTCCACAGGTCTTGGTCCAGTCCCAGGTGGCGTCTATATATGGGATAATATAGGAAGAATAGATATGGGAAGAAGGTGATGAGTTTGGTTTTGGTCATGCTAGAATCAAGGAGCCTGTAGGCAGGGCTGATATTCAAAACTTTCTACCAACCAACAGAGCACAGGCAGGAATTGGCTGCTGGTGAGGACGGATACTATTAATAAACAAATTGGTAAGGCTGTACCTCTGCATACTGATTGAATATCAGCCCTGTCCACAGGACTATCCAGGTAGAAAATTGGAACTGTGAGGTTAGAAGTCAGAAGAAAAGTTGGGCTCAATATAATGGATTGGGCTGGTGTAATTAATTGTATTGTCATGAGAGGGCTGGGGATGAGTCCTGGGATTGAGTCGAGGAAGATGGGTGAATGGAAAGGTGAGACGAGAACCAAAAGACAACTGTTTCCCAGGAATCAAAAAGAGTTTTAAGGATAGAGTAGTCAGTAGGATAGCAATGGCCTATCAACTTGGCAGTGTCAGAGTGGTAAACATGGTGGAAACAGATGAACATGTGTGTCTGTAGCAGGTGCAGATATGTGCTATAACAGTGTATTAAGTATTTTTCTCTCATTATGAAAGTATATTACACTTATTATACACTATTTGGAGAGAGGAGGGTGGCCAGTTTCAACCTGCTGGAACTTCTGAGCCAAATACCAGGGTCAGCCAAGGATGAGGACCCCAGGGGGTGCTCACCACTGGCACCCTGGGTGGTGCAGGTGCACTGTTAAGTTTGACACCTACCAGAGCAATCTGTCAGTTCAACAGGGTAGTCCTGGTTTGATGCTGCAGAGAGTAGCACTGAAGAGAATCTTCCTACTCTGAGGCTGCCTCTCTCCATCTGAGGCCCTCTACCCTTCTCAGACAACTGGATCTAAAATTTGATAAAGAAACATGACAACTCCCTGATCAGGTTTTCCCCTGCACTAAAACTATCTGAATACATAAAATTGGACAGAGCCCATTTCACTCTCAGTATGTGACAGACTCCTCCTTAGAAGGATATGAGACAGATGGAATGATGTAGTAGAAAGATGGAAAAAGATAGAAAATCAGGTAGAATGGAAGGATTGAGTAGTTCCAAAGGAGGGGAACAGAGTTATTGTGGGAAACAAAAAATTGACAACTGGTCAAGATCAGAAAAGGTGGGAAATGCCATGAAAAGAAGACCGTGGTGTTCATACTTCTGTCTTGTTTTTCTCCTGTCTCACCACTCAGCTCCGTGGTAGTGATTGACTCTGACTCTGACTCTGATAACGAATGCTACCCCTATGAGAAGAAAGCTAAGATCCTGAAAACAAACCGTGACGGCAAGTATATATCACTTTGTTAGAGAGGTGGCTGAGCTCCAAAGCCTCATCACATGTAGTTTCAGGATCAGTGTCTGCAGACTTTCTATTCGGAATTCCTCAGCAGCAAGTGCCACCGTTTCCTTCCTCACGTGTGCTGGATGTGGATATGGCTGGGTTCCCTATACCCCCTTGTTAATTTACCAGCAACAGCAACTGTTCTCGCTTCCTCAGACCTCAGTGGCTCCCTCAGTAGAGATGTTACCTGTGTAGAGCTCTATCAGTGAAGCGGGGTGGGGGTGGGTGGTCAAGAACTGAGGCTGGGAACTCTGAAGGCTGCTCTGTACCCCCCTCTTCCTCTTTCCCCCTTCTATGTGTAGGAATGATGAGGAAGAAGAAAGGAGTAAGAGGCCTGGCTCATTTTTCCTTCCAATTTGAAGGGTGGTGGTTTATGGGCCAGCTGGCAGTGTCGTGGTGGGAAGAATCCTTATTTTCTCCATTGAGTTGTTGGTCTTTGCTGTTTGCCAGTCCCTCTGTATTTTCTACAGATTCTTGTATTTCTTAGAGCCTGTTTAGATTCAGAAACCCCTTTAACCCTCTGGGAGGCTTGGAGCTTAACTCAGTTTAAAACCTACCTGCTCAGTGGGCACGAAACACAGGAAGACTAGAAACTTTTTAAGCACTAGGGACAGTATTTCATTGATCTTTGTTCTCCCAATACAGGTATAGGGCATGATACATGGGCACCTAGTTAATGTTTGCTGAGCCGAACTCCGCTGAAAATGGGAGGCCCGTAAAGCACCAACTAATTTTTTTTTTTTTTTTTGAGACAGGGTCTTGGTCTGTTTCCCAGACTGGAATGCAGTGGTGTGTTCTCAGCTCTCCTCAACCTGCGCCTCTCAGGCTCAAGTGATTCTCTTGCCTCAGCCTCCTGAGTAGCTGGGATTACACGCACTGGCCACAGTTCCCAGCTAATTTTTGTGTGTGTGTATGTGTGTGTATATACACACACATAATATATATATATATATATTTTTTTTTTTTTTTTTAGTAGAGATGGGGTTTCATCATGTTGGTCAGGCTGGTCTTGAACTCCTGGTCTCAAGTGATTTGCGCTCTTTGGCCTCCTAAAGTGCTAGGATACAGGTGTGAACCACTGGGCCTGACCAGCACTAGCTAGTTCTTAGGTAATTACCTAAGAGCTATTGTTGGCCAGAGCGTCTTAGCTAACCTGGGATATCAGAGCAGGGAAGGGAGAGATGGTTTGAAATGCTAGTCTCCTATTGTTCCATCACCCATCCTTTTGAATTTCTTTCCCCGCTTCCTCTCTCTAGCTCTGGATGGCTACGCTTGAGCAGGACAGAGGTTTGAGTACAGAGTAGAGGGTCTGACATGACAAGCTGTGGAAATGTGAGAGGAACTCCAAGGAGGCAGCTTGAGGGCAGGGAGGTGTGACAGAGCCAGAAACAGTTCACAACTGGAGGCTGCCAGGTGCTTGACTCCTTGAATCAGAAGAGAGAGATTCTTTTGAGTGTGAACTTTCAACTAAGGCTGCTCTTACCTTGCTGGCCTGTGGACTGTAACTGTGGGCATTCATCCCAGCAATGGAGGGATGAAGGTTGCTCCTATAGGACAGGCTTTGTACTTTTCTTTACTCGATGTGGCATTTCTTTTTATTTAGATAGATCCACAGAAAACAAGGCCTAGTGGACTGTAAAGCATAACTCCAACTTTTGTTGCTATATGTAGTCATTTTTAAATATATTGTAAGCAGTGTGTCCCTACTTTTTCTAATTTTTAATTTCAGCTGTAAGTGGCAAATCTTTTAAGTCTTCTAGGAAGGAGGTGGGGCTTTTTACCCTAGGAACATCCACTCCTTTTCTCTTCCCTTATTGCGTATTTGAAGTTTTTTCATAATTAATTCAAATAACAGATGAGACTCTCAAAATATATTACCTCAAATCTGCAGTTTTAGGATAAAGAGTTTTTGTACCATAAATATATCTTTCACATCTTGACTATGCTATGGTTTAGATTTTTAGATTTTTTTTGCATCCAGAATCATACAAACCTAGAACTTGAGCTCCAAATGAGCTCCAATGAGCATGTGGTGTCAGACACACTGGGCTTCCTTTCAGTGCAGTCAGTGATGTCCCAGATGTTGCCGAGGCCTCTCAGAGAGTGCTGGCATCGGGACCTACTCCTGGCTCTTAGATCAGTGGTTCTGAGAGCTTTGCACTTACGAACTAATTTAAAGAATGAAATTTTGGTGACCAACAGAGTTGTCAATTTTTAATTTGTCTAACGGAGGAAATTAAAAAAAAAAACAAACTTTAGCTACCATTTGCTATTTTTGTAATTTTGTAAAGAGCACCAAAAGTTTAACCAAGATATAATCACAAAATAAAGGACAGCCTTTTAAATTTTAGAAATTTTAATTGATGGGGGGAAAATACCACTTTATTATTCTATTTTGTCTTATTTTGCCATGGACCAGTGAAAATATACAAGTCTACAGACCTGTGTTTGGGAAGCCCTGAGTAACTACTACATCTTGCTACTTAGAGACTGTGATTTGAAAATTGACACATGAATTTGGTTGCTATTTGATCTGTCACTGCTCTCAGTGAAATAAAAAATAGAGGAAAAAACAATCTAAAATAACTTTCTTTTTTAAAAAATAATTTTTTATTTTTGTAAGTAGATAGTAGATGTATATATTTATGGGGGTACATGAGGTGTTTTGATACAAGCATACAATATGTAATAGTCACATCATGGAGAATGCAGTATTTGTCCCCTCAAGCATTTATCCTTTGTGTTACAACCAATCCAGTTATACTCCCTTAATTATTTCAAAATGTACAATTGAGTTATTGACTTACAGTCATCCTGTTATGCTATTAAATAGTAGACCTTATTCTATTTTTCTGTACCCATTAACCATCCCCACTTTTCCACACCCCTTCACTATCCACCTCTGGTAACCATACTTCTATTCTCTATCTCCTTTAGTTAATTGTTTTCATTTTTAGACCCCACAAATAAATGAGATCATGTGAAGTTTGTCTTTCTGTGCCTGGCTTATTTCACTTAACATAATGACCTCTGGTTCTATCCATGTTGTTGCAAATGACAGGATCTCATTCTTTTTTATGGTTGAGCAGTACTCTACTGCTCCATTCTGTATATGTACCACATTTTCTTTATCCATTCATCTGTTTTTGCTTTTTTTTTTTAAGCGATGGAGTCTCGCTTTGCTGCCCAGGCTGGAGAGCAGTGGCACAATCTTGGCTCACTGCAGCCTCTGCCTCCTGGGTTCAAGCAATCCTCCTGCCTCAGCCTCCTGAGTAGCTGGGACTATAGGCGTGTGCCACCACGCCCGGCTAATTTTTATATTTTTAGTAGAGACGAGGTTTCACCATTTTGGCCAGGCTGGTCTCAAACTTCTGGCCTCAAGTGATCCATGTGACTCCCAAAGTGCTGGGATTATAGGCACGAGCCACTGCACTTGGCCTGCATTATCTGTTGATGGATACTTAGGTTGATTCAAATCTTGGCTGTTGTGAACAGTGCTACAACAAACATGGGAGTGCAGCTATCACTTTGATATACTGATTTTCTTTCTTTCGGGTATATATGCAGCAGTGGGTTTGCTGAATTGTATGGTAGCTCTGTTTTTAGTTTTTTGAGGAACCACCAAACTGTTCTCCAGGGTGGTTGTACTAATCTACATTCCTGTCAGGAGTGTACGAGGGTTCCCTTTTCTCCTCATCCTCACCAGCATTTGTTATTGCCTGTCTTTTGTATAAAAGCCATTTTAACTGGGGTGAGATGATACCTCATTGTAGTTTTTTGGGTTTTTTGTTTTGTTTGAGACGGTCTCATTTTGTCGCCCAGGCTAGAGTGCAGGGACGTGATCTTGGCTTACTGCAGCCTCCACCTCCCAGGTTCAAGTGATTATCCTTGCCTCAGTCTCCCAAGTAGTTTGGACTACAGTTGTGCACCACCATACCTGGCTAATTATTGTATTTTTTTGTAGAGATGGGTTTTTACCATGTCGGCCAGGCTGGTCTCGAACTCCTGACCTCAGGTGAGCCACTGTGCCTAGTCATTAATTGTAGGTTTGATTTGCATTTCTCTGATGATCAATGATGTTGAGTACCTTTTCATATGCATGTTTGCCATTTGTATTTATTCTTTTGAGAAATGTCTGTTCAGATCTTTTGTCTCATTTTTCATTGGATTATTGCATTTTTTTCCTGTAGAGTTGTTTGACCACCGTATATACTCTAGTTATTAATCCCTTGTCAGATGGGTAGTTTGCAGTTATTTTGTCCCATTCTGTGGGTTGTCTCTCCACTTTGATTGTTTTCTTTGCTGTTCAGAAGCTTTTTAACTTAATGTGATCCCACTTGTCCATTTTTGCTTTGGTTGACATTGCTTGTGGGGTATTTGTAGTTTTCCTGTAGTAGTTTCATAGTTTGAGGTCTTATATTTAAGTCTTTAATCCATTTTGATTTGATTTTTGTGTAGCAAGAGATAGGAATCTAGTTTCATTCTTTTGGATATGGATATCCAGTTTTCCCAGCACCATTTATTGAAGAGACTGCCTTTGCCCCAGTGTATGTTCTTGGCACCTTTGTTTAAAATGAGTTCATTGTAGGTGTGTGGATTTGTTTCTGCATTCTCTATTCTATTCCATTGGTCTGTGTGTCTGTTTTTATGCCAATGCCATGCTGTTTTGGTTGTTATAGCTCTATAATGTAATTTGAAGTCAGGTTATATGATTTCTCCAGTTTTGTTCTTTTTGCTCAGGATAACTTTGGCTATTCTGGGTCTTTCATGGTTCCATATAAATTTTAGGATGGTTTTTTCTAGTTATGTGAAGAATGTCAATGGTATTTTGATAGGGATTTCATTGAATCTGTAGAGTTCTTTAGGTAGTATGGACATTTTTACAGTATTGATTCTTCCAATTCATGAACATGGAATCTTTCCATTTGTTGGTGTCCCCTTTAAAATAACTGATTTTGTTTTTTGAGATGGAGTCTCACTCTGTCGCCCAGGCTGGAGTGCAGTGGCATGATCTCAGCTCACTGCAACCTCTGCTTCCTGGGCTCAAGCAATTATCCTGCCTCAGGTTCCCCAATAGCTGGGATTGCAGGCGTGTACCATCACGCATGGCTAATTTTTTGTATTTTTAATAGAGATGGGGTTTGCCATGTTGGCCAGGCTGGTCTAGAACTCCTGACCTCAAGTGATCTCCTGCCTCGGCCTCCTAAAGTGCTGGGATTACAGGCGTGAGCCACTGTTCTCAGCCTTAAAATAAATGATTCTTTTTTTTTTTTTTTTTGAGATGGAGTTTTGCTCTTGTTACCCAGGCTGGAGTGCAATGGCGTGATCTCGGCTCACCGCAACCTCTGCCTCCTGGGTTCGGGCAATTCTCCTCCCTCAGCCTCCCGAGTAGCTGGGACTACAGGCACACACCACCATGCCCAGCTACAATTTTTTGTATTTTTAGTAGAGACGGGGTTTCACCAAATTGACCAGGATGGTCTCGATCTCTTGACCTCGTGATCCACCCGCCCCGGCCTCCCAAAGTGCTGGGATTACAGGCGTGAGCCACCGCACCCAGCAAATAACTGATTCTTAACTGTTATTCAGAATGTTACAGTTCCTGTCTTAATTTGCTACTAAAATTTAATGTGTGAAGGAGGGAGTATATTTACATATGATCTTGTGTCTTGAATTTCAGGTAAGAATATGGAAGGTTATAATGTGAAGCCTACCATCCTTACCATCCAGGGACCCCTAATAGTTATTAGTGATGATGATGATGACGACGACAAGAACAGTAATGATTTGGAAGTTCTCAAAGAAGAGAGTAATGATTCAGATGTTCCCAAAGACAAGAGTAATGATTCAGATGTTCCTGATGACGACGACAATCATGATTTGGATGTTCCTGATGACGACGACAAATACGATTCCGATGTTCCTGATGATGATCATGATTCGGATGTTCTCGATGACGACGACAATCATGATTCCGATGTTCCTGATGATGATCATGATTCGGATGTTCTCGACGAAGACAGTAATGATTCGGATGTTCTCAGTGACAGTAATGATTGGGAAGTTCCTGACAACAGTAGTGATGATTTGGAAGTTCCTATGCCAGCAGAAGATTCGTGTGATGAAGGCCAAATTGCCTCAGATGAAGAAGAGCTGGATGAGGCTGGTGAGCAGGATCTTGGTGAGAATCTCTGCCATCCACCAAGTGATCCTGAGGCTAACCTTGAGGTTTCAAAGAGAAAGCTGCCAACTGAGGAAGAACCTGCAACTGTGGTGGGACAGTCAGGGAAAAGGAAGGCAAAAAGTGAAACTATCGTGGAGCCACTAAAGCAACAGAAGGCAGAAATTGAAAGTGTTGTGGAGCCACCGAGGAAGAGGAAGGCAAAAACCAAAAATATATCTGTTACACCTGGTAAGCCAGTCATTCCAAGTATGCCTGTCCCACTGAATGTGCCTTGCCTGCCAATTGTGCCTGTCTTATCTAGTCTGCCTGTCCTCCTTGTCAGCCCTGTGCCATTTCAGCAACTTCCTTGTGGCCCCAGGAGGCATTCATCCTGGTGAAACGATGGTTCTGGGAATGGGGGAGGAATGGCCACATCTTTCTCATGCTCCTGTATCTTAGTATTTGCTGTTTACCGGCCTGGAGTGCTGTCTCTGTAAACCTTATGTCCTGAGGATATCTTATTTTTCTTAGGACCCAGCCCAATTGTCACTTCCTCTATGAAGCCATAAGTCAGAGTGGCTCCTTTCTCTCCAGGGTTACTGAAGTTCTGGAGTGCATCTCTACCAAAGCACTAGTCACACTATTAGAATATGTTCCTGAGTCTGTCCCGCCTTGGCCATGCCAAGACCTCTTTGACTGCACATGCTTCAGTTGCCCACACTGCCTAGCTTCTAAGGGCATACTCCTGGACCCTCATAGTCCTTGGTTCCTGTGACAGAATCCTGCCCAGCTCATGCTGCTGGCAGCACTGAATTCACGTGGGTGAGATGGTTGAGAATGATGAAGATGGCAGTACGCCGCTTCAGACAGTTTTGTTTAGAGATGTTGCACTGGACTTGGCTGTGAGGGCTCCTTTTGGGTTTACCTTTCTGTTAGTCTCTGCATGGTACCGATTTTCAGGGTATAAGTAAACTATTCTTCTTTCAGCTGATAAAGGACATAAGAAGTGTGGGCATTCAAAGAAGAAACCTGGTGCAGCAAAAGTTGAAAATCACAAGACTAGGTATGTACTGCTCATGTTCAGTCGAACAGGAATTGATTGCACAGTTGTCACATTAGGTAGTACACTGGGCACTTGGGTAGGGGTGGTCTGCAAGGGGATAAAGGAGTCTGGCTGGGATGGGGTTGGAGGACAAGATTTCTATCTTGAGTGGGAGGGCCCAAGCAAGGGAGAATACCACCCACTGACTCCCTCCTTCCTTCTCTCCCCACTCTCTGAGGCTGGGCCTGGGCTCTCTGCCAAAGTGCCTGCAGTTACCTGGGTGGAGGGGGCCTTTCTGCCCCGACAGCAGCTCTGGCCTCTGAGATTGCCCATGTCCTTCAACTCAGATCCAAGAATGATGTGTAGCCAAACAAGACACTTTTTTTCAGGCTGGATACAGCCTCATGGCCACCAGTTTGCTCTAAACCAAGGCAAAGGCAGTGGAAGTGGTGAGAAGGTAGAAGGAACACATTGATCTGTTGGAATTGGAGAGAGAGTGGTCAAGATTGTCTTCCAGGTTTTTCTAGTGCTTTGGCTGAACCCAGTTACTCTTACTATTGTGTATATTCTTAGGAACTTTTAAAGCTTAAATGTTAGGATGAAATGGATTGCTTGTCATTCCTTTATTTTTATTAAGCTATATATAGTTGATACTGGAAACAACAATTGATCATTTAGACATGTTAATACTTAAGGCAAAAAATTAATATATTTTCTTATTTAGATATCGGGAATTTCTTAGTTTTTTCCTTAGAAATCTGATATAGTAGGCTGGCGTGGTGGCTCACGCCTGAAATCCCAGCTACTCAGGAAGCTGAGGCAGGAGAATTGCCTGAACCCAGGAGGCAGAGGTTGCGGTGAGCCAAGATCGCGCCATTGCACTCTAGTCTGGGTGACAAGAGTGAAACTTCGTCTCAAAAAAAAAAAAAATTCTGATATAGTAAGCATAATTTTCTTTGTTTTTACTTTCATTGAAGAGTAATATATACTCACATATGAATTGTCTTACAAGACAAGGAATGTATTTGAAGGACTATATGTTATTTTTTAAGTAGCATTTGGGGACAATAAGTGTATCTTAAGGGAGGGGAAAAAGACTGATGTTTCAGCTATAGGGACACCAGGTCACCCTGGACCTGAGCAGAAGGGCTGTCTGTTTCTGTGCTGGCAGAGGCAGCTGGTAGCAGCTTGCCAAGTGCTCTCTTGGCTGGATCCCTTTTCAGCAAGGTTTCTGCTCCGATTCCTAGCTACATATTTAAGCTGCTTTGCCTCCAGGAACGTGTAGCTCTTGGGTAGCTCCCAAGTTGCTTTGCTAGAGCGTGACAAAAGAAGGGAGAAGCTGCCCCTTGGTGTCGTCAGTCTGCATTATGCAAAGGAGGCTAGCCTTTTTGGACTCTTAACTGTTGTTTAGCACTTCCTGTGTCAGTCTGGAGGCTTCCTGTTATGCTTAGCACTGTGCCTGTGGAGGCTGCTTGCTGGTCATGGTGTCTGATGTACCCAGTTTGGGGTCTTGTTGGTTTCTCTGATGTGAAGGTGCTCAGCCTGCAGTAAAGAGCCACAGGCCTTGAGGCGAAAGTATGCTAAGCCACAAGGCCAGCATTGTGTGAGCACAAACACATGGGTCACAGGCTCTGCCGAAATCTGCAGAGTGTTCAGGTTTGCATCTGCCACCTTAAATACTGATGTAAATTTGCTTTCAGGTCTAAACTCAAAGCAGAAGTCCCCCATTTCAGGCTTGGGATGAAGACCCTTCCATAACCTATGTCTTGTCTGGTACTTAACTGCTCTGCAGCCCAACTTCCTCACATAGGGTTGTTTGTGACTTAAGGGTTAATGAGGATTCTGGCAAAATCTCAGTTTTAGGAGTTCTGTTAAGTCAGAAACCTGCTGTGTTTGCTCCCGTTCTATCTTTCCAGGTCTTTGGGCTTATCTCTGGACTTACTGGACTGTTTCAGCTAAGATAAAAATGCTTCTGTTTAAATAATAATTATTATAGTATGAGTCCTTTATGTGCTCAGCATTGAATAATGCCCTTTGAATTAGGCCTTGAAAGATGGGGCAGTGATTGTGGTTTAACCAAATACCATGAGATTTGGATCAGGAGATTCACTGTCTCTGTAACCTTTGGGCAAGTCTCTTGACTTCTTGAACACAGTGGAGAGCGTAAAAATAGTAATAGCTTCTTTGAAGGGTGGTTGTGAGGATTAAATATGACAATGCAAAAGGAAGTTCTTTGCAAATTTAAAGTGCTACACAGATGGTTATTCTCGGTAGAGGTGGACATGTGGTCATTGTAAGCTGTGGGAAAATAGATTGTGCTGAGGCACAAATGTGGGAAATCACAATTTGTATCCAGGGAACATTTAAGTTGCCCGCTTTGGCTAGAGTGGCAGTGGTAGCTGGGAATAAAGCTTGGGACCAGGTTGACCTTGGCCATGAATTTCAGGCCAAGCAGTCAGTGAAAAACCAGAGGGGGATGTTAATTGAAGCGTGGCCTGTGAAAATGAATCTGGAGGGGTGTGTGTGATTGAGAAGAGAAGGAGCCTGGAGGTAAGGAACACCGGAATGTTCTCATATCCAGGCATAAAGGGTAGGACAGGAACTTGAACTAGAGTAGGAACCAGGAGGATGGAAAGGAGGGGCTGGCTGGAAGAGAAAGTGTGAAGAAGATAGTCTGTCTCTGTGCCCAATTGAACAAATAAAGAGAGAAAAGGAATTTTAAAATGCCTTTGAGGTTTTTCAGCCAATTGTAACAGAAGTTTGATAATTGAACACACTTTAGCTGGAGATACATTTGTGTTAGTTGGAAGTTTGCACTGGGCAACTGTAAATTCAGAACTAGGTCTCAGGAGAGAGCTCCAGAGTGCAGATACAGTTGTGGGGATAAGACTCATTGAAGTTGAAACCATGGGCTTCACACCTCTGAGGGTTGCAAAGAGCGAAGAGAAAAGGCTACAGACGGATGCTTGGGAAATGCCCTCATCTAAGGAACTAGAAGGAAGAGGGAGCTACAGGTTTTCAGGGTCTCTTCACAAGACACTTAACGCGTGCATTCCTTCTCTCTGTTTAGCTACATAAATCTCAATTGAATTTACCTTTGTAGGACTTGTAAGTGCAAAGTCCATGGAAGTTTCCTACATGGCCTTGGAAAGTCAAAGAAACACTCTAGAATCTACGACCTGTTTAACAGAACCAACTGTGATAAAAAGGTAGGGTTAGTGAACGAGCGTTGATTGAGCACCTGCTATACACCAGTACTCTTGGCGCAGTGAGGTGTGCTAACCGTGTATACTTCCCACCCTTGAGCAGAGGCAGTTGAGGTTGTGAGACGAGCCCTCGTACAGGTGAAAGCAGTAGAGAATGTGTATGAGTTATAATGTGTAGGACAGACGGCTGTTACCACAGGAGATCAGCGCAGAGAGAAATCATTGAGAGCCTCAACAGCCAGGAAGTAAGATTGCCTGGAGGAAGTGAGACTCTGTTCTTAAAGGATGGTAAGTGGTGAGAACAACAGGAGAGGGGAGAGGGAGAGTTGAGGCTTGACAATCAGGAAGAGAGGATTCATGTGGAAGGATAATGGAAAAGAGCTGTGTTACCTTGAGCAAGTTACTTGGCCTCAGTTTCTTCCTCTGTAAAATGGGGACATGATACTTATCACCTTATAGGATTATTGTTACCCTTACATAAGTTAATACACATACAATGCGTTAGAACAGGGCCTAGGATGTAGTAAGTTCTTATTTTTTGATAGTTTAGGATCAGATACTGGAGGGCCTTGGGAATCAGGTTGGAGCAGGTTAAATTTACATCAGTAGGCACCACTGCATAGGGATAGGGTGCATCAGGGAGCGAATGAAATTAACCTGCTGAAAGAAAACCTGACAGTAACCTGTGGTTATGGACTGGATTGGATAAAATCTGGAGGCAGAGAGACCTATTGGTCATTAGATTTTTCAGACTTTATTGTCTCTGGTGACACAACTTTCTGGAGGGAAGTTCTCATATATTCCTAAAGATTCCCTCGCTTTTGGTGCCTTTCTTGATGACAGTGGTGTCACATCAGATGGGTGGAACCTGAAGTGTTCTAAGTTGCATTTTCAGTTCAGCCCCACCCACCTCAGCAGGCTTGTTCTTCTCTCCTTAGCTGCCCCAAGGGCAAGAGAGCCCAAGTCCTGCACTCACGTGTTCTAGCAGTCGCCCTTATGTCCTGATTGCCTTTTCGTTGTCTTTACCCAGACTTAAATGTGGCTTTTATTCTCCCCGGAATGTTTTGATTTGTGTGCTCTTTGAATAAGTTTCTTCTCAAACTTGCTCTGAGCCAAGAACCTGGGGGAGAAAGTTTCTTTTCCTTTTTATTAGATGGTAAAAAATTCTGGAACTAATATATTCTAGTCTGCTTAAAACTGCTTTCTGGGCCAGGTGCAGTGGCTCACGCCTATAATCCCACCACTTTGGGAGGCCAAGACAGGTGGATCACCTGAGGTTAGGAGTTCAAGACCAGCCTGACCAACATGGTAAAACCCCGTCAATACAAAAAATTAGCTGGGTGTGGTGGTACATGCCTGTAATCCCAGCTACTTGTGAGGCTGAGGCAGGAGAATCGCTTGAACCTGGGAGGCGGAAGTTGCAGTGAGCTGAGATTGTGTCATTGTACTCCAGTCTGGGCAACAAGAGCAAAAACTGTCTGGAAAAAAAAAAACTAAACTGCTTTCTGATTCCTTTCATTTGCTTTTCATTCTCAGCTGCAAGAGAAACGACGGAGTTCCTGGAATAACAAGATGCTGAGAACTGCCGGCTCATGCAGCACTAGTGAGATGCCATACCAAACGAGTCAGTGCTTTGCTGAGATCCAGATTGGCGTGAAAGTCTCAGCAAAGATCCAGATTGGCATGCAACTCTCTGAAGGTGATGGCGGGATTGTGGCAGTTTCACCACTATGCTCTTTCCTTCTGACACTGTGCCTGTGAAATTACTCCTAGTTGGTAGCCTGTGTCACAGCTTGAACTGTCACTTTTGGGTGGGCAGCTATACTGTGTGTTGCTTAGAGAACATAATTACTGGATATCTCACCATCCTGTGAATCAAGCCCATTCAACTTTCTACCGGGCCTGCCTTTCTCTCTGCATTTCCCCTCTGCCAGCAGTAGCATCTTCATGGTCTTGGGAGCTGAGGTTCAAGGTTCCCTATTGTCTAGCCAGTCACCAAATCTTCCTTCACAGTAGCTCACCGTTTCTTCTCCAACTGTGCCTCCATCCAAAGACAGGCCTTCATCCCTGCTTCGTTTGGTCTCCCGCATGCTACTACATTGCTTTCCTGCTGAGAAACCAGGGTTTTTCAAGGCCTAGAGCCTGGCTTTTGAGGCCATTGTAATCTGCTCCCATTCTCCTTGGCCGATCTTGTCTCTCAGTACTCTACTACTAGCCCATGGCCCAGACAGGCTCTCTTCACACTGGCCTTCAAAACATAAACCACAGGCTGGGTGTGGTGGCACACACCTGTAGTCCCAGTTACTTGAGAGGCTGAGTTGACAGGCTCGCTTGAGCCTACACTATGATCACACCTGTGAATAGCCATTTCACTCCAGCCTGGGCAATATAGCGAGATTCAGTCTCTAAAATGTTTTTAAAAATGTGCCACATAGTCATGTTTTACCACACCCAGAATGACCTTCCTGACTTTGCAAATTCAATCAATTAGTAAGAGCCCCTGAGGTCTCATCTTCTCCATGGAGCTTCTCCTAAGCGGATCTCATGGCCATAGTGATTGCTTCCCACACTGTCCACCCACCTCTGTTCCTAGAGGGCAGAAACTAGATCTTGTCTGGATGTTTTTCTGGCAGTGCCTCACAAAAAGATGAGCATGTTGGAGCTGCTCCAAAAAGACCTGCTCACCGAAGGCTCTTTGCCATAAACAATATCGGGTTGAAGTAGGTGGAAATTTCACTTTGAGAATCCTGGGAAGGTAACACTCATGCCCACCTGCATGTGCTTCTGGAAGATAGCCTTGTGTCTGATGGGGCTGAAAGTCGAGGGATTGTTGAGTAGCATATAAGAAGAGGATTGGGGCTGGGCTCAGTGGCTCAGGCCTGTAATCCCAGCGCTTTGGGAGGCCGAGGTGGGTGGATCACTTGAGGTCAAGAGTTCAGGACCAGCCTAGCCAACATGGCAAAACCCCATCTCTACTGAAAAACAAAAAAATACAAAAAATCAGCTGGGTGTGGTGGTGTGTACCTGTAATCCCAGCTACTCGAGGCTGAGGCAGGAGAATTGCTTGAACTTGGGAGGTGGAGGTTGCAGTGAGCTGAGCTCACGCCACTATGCTGGGGTGACAAAACGAGACTCTGTCTCAAACAAAAAAAAAGAAGAGGACTGGTTTTAGTGCTCACAATTTCTTTCCATTCTTTTTTTTTTTTTTTTTTTTTTTGAGACAGGGTTTCACCATTTTTTGGTCAGGCTGGTTTCAAACTCCTGACCTCAGGTGATCCACCCGCCTCAGCCTCCCAAAGTGCTGGGATTACAGGCTTGAGCCACCGCACCCAGCCTTCTATTCTTCTTTCAAGATCGAATCCAGGATACCTTGATCCATGAAATATGCCATGCTGCCTCCTGGCTGATGGTTTCCATGATTCTTACGGTGACACATGGAAGTATTATGCCAGGAAATCCACAGGTGCACCCGGAGCTGCCCAAGGCCACCTGTTGCTATAGCTATAAGATTAACTACAAGGTCCATTATGAATGTACTGAGTGCAAAACCAGCTAAGACTCTTATCCTCAGACTTTTCCCAGTTATGTTTTGCTGGGGCCTCCAAGTGGCTCTCGAGTGATTTTTAAGTAGGCGGCTGTCTGAATTGAGAAGGAGAACCTTTCCTCCTTCCCATGTTCTCTTTTTCCTTTTTCTTGTGTAATTTGAGCCGGGCTGACCCCTGCTGCAGCTTGGTGCCCCGGTCTCTGACAACTCAGAGAAAATTCTTGCTTTGGGCTCAAGACCAGCATCTCAGATCTGATGCTAAGGAACAGTGACTGATTCTTTCGTTTTGTTTTGTTCCTTTCCTTCCCAGGATTGGCTGCTACACCAGATCATTGGATGCCATATGCTTCATGTACGTCAAGTACAAGGTGTCTCTGGTCATGGTCCCATTAACTTGGAAAGATGGGACCCACATTGTGCCCCAAGTGCGACCATTTGCTCTGTATATACAGAAGTATTATAGAAAAATTCTGCAGGAGATGGGTGGGATTAGCCACAGGGATGTGATGAAAACATTTGGTAGGAATTTTAAGGTAATAGAGATTTTTTTTTTTAAATAAAGACAGGGTTTCACCATGTTGGTCAGGCTTGTCTTGAACTCCCAACCTCAGGTGATCAGGCCACCTTGGCTTCCAAACTGCTTGGATTACAGGCGTGAGCCACCACGCCCAGCTGATAAAGAATTCTTAAGGTTATCTGAGGGTATATTTATGTGAGCTATATATGTTTTTGTTTTCTGCAGTTGTCTGTCATCCTACCTACAGACAAGTGAGCTGTATTTTTTACTGTTAAAAAATTTTAGAAAAGTTTGTTTTTGTGAAGTTAGGAATATTAGAATTTAGGTACTGTCAAGTAAGTAATATTAGAATTTAAGATTCATGTTATTAATGACAATTGAGCTTAACCAGGGGCTCTATTGCTAACCATTCTGTGCCCTTGACAGGGTAGATCTGTAGCCTTTGGGATCTACCTTGGGTCTTTTTTCAGCCCCATAGTTGTCACATGTAAGACAAAATGCAAAAGAAAAGTGAGTTTTCAAGAGTGGCAGGTGGAGAGAAAGGAGAATGCTGGCATGAGGACAAGTTTTAGTGGTAACACTTAAACACCAGAGCTACTGTGACACCTGCATAGAGGAAAGACACTTGGCTCCATAGGTTTCACAAGTAGGACAAAATGCACAAGAAAAATGAGGTTTTGAGAGTGGCAGGTTGAGAGAAAGAGGAGAATGCTTGAAAGGAAAAATCTTAGAGGCAACACTTAAACATCAGGGCTACTGTGACATCTATGTAGACAGGAAAGACAAACGTGTTTCATAAATGTTTCTGATGATGTTGATTGAAACTATCTGAGCCATGTAATCAAAAAATAAAAGTTGTATGCATCTCACTTGTTAGCAGAGTCTGTTCATTGACTTCCTGCACCTAGAGCAAAACAGACCGTCTGGTCTTCTGTCCAAGACACTGGACATCTGAAGCCCTCCAGGACATGTCTAGAGGAGCGTGCTGCACTCCATGTTTCTCTGGCTTCTGTGACTGCCCGTAAGAACTTAGCAGCCTCCCTACTTATAGCGATTCAGGGTGTGGACTGGGACCCACATTGTATTTGTTTTCTTTGGGTGCTGCAGCAAATTACAAGCATAGCGGCTTAAAACAACACACAGTTCTGGGGGTCAGATAGTCTATCACTGGTGTCACTGGGCTAAAATCAGGGTGTCAGCAGGGCTGTGTGCCTTCCTGAAATCTGTTGCCTTGTATTTTCTTCCCTTTTTTTTTTTTTGGAGACAGTCTTGCTCTGTCACCCAGGCTGGAGTGCAGTGGTGCAATCTTGGCTCACTGCAACCTTCGCCTCCTGGGTTCAAGTGATTCTCCTGCCTCAGCCTCCCAGGTAGCTGGTATTACAGGCACCTGCCACCATGCCCACCTAATTTTTGTAGTTTTAGTATTGACTACTAGTCACTCACCGTGTTGGCCAGGGTGGTCTCAAACTCCTGACTTCAAGTGATCCACCCACGGCTTCCCAGTGTTAGGATTACAGGCATGAGCCACCTCAGCTGGCCTTTTCTGCCTTTTAGAGGCTGCTCACACTTCCTTGGTCAGCAGCTCCCTCTCTCACTCCCTTGCTCCCTCCCTCTTTTACCTTTACTTATATATATATATATATATATATATAAATTTTTTTTTTTTTTTTTATGAGATGGAGTCTCACTGTCGCCCAGGCTGGAGTGCAGTGGTGCTGTCTTAGTTCACTGCAACCTCCACCTCCTGGTTTCAAGTGATTCTCCTGCCTCAGCCTCCCAAGTAGCTGGAATTACAGGCATGCACCACTGCATTTAGCTAATTTTTGTGTTTTTAGTAGACAGAGTTTAGCCATGCTGGCCAGGCTGGTCTCAAACTCCTGACCTCAAGTGATCCGCCTGCCCCGGCCTCCCAAAGTGCTGGGATTTCAGGTGTGAGCCACCGCTCCCAGCCTCTCTTTCAGTTTTAAAGGATGTTTGTGATTCCTTTGGGACCATCTGGATAATCCAGGAGTCTCTTCAAGACAGCTGATTGGATGCTTGTGATTCCTTTGGGCCCATCTGGATAATCCAGGAGCCTCTTCAAGTCAGCTGAATGGTAACCTCATTTCCCTTTTGCCATCTGAGGTAACACAAATTCTGGGGATTAGTGTGTGGGTGTCTTGGTGCCCACGTTTTCAGTCAGCCACAGGTATTTTGACTATCCTGATACTTTTTCTAGGCAAGGTGCATTCTGTCATTTCCCTTCCTTCCTTAATTTTCTAGAAGCTTGGAGTGTCTCGTGGCTACAAAGTAGGCTGGTGTGTTTATATGGTGGGATGAGCTTTCCCAGCTAACTCTTCAGATTCTTCCTCCCCATTCCCACCTGTAGCTATATCTGCAGTTTCAGCAGGGGCCCAGCCGGCTTGTGAAACTGGATCCTAGCACATCAGTGACTTAAGTAGGGGCCACTGACGATGCAGTAAACCCACCCCATCACCTGTTTTAACTGAGTAATCCTGTCATCTGCCTTTCTGGGAAGCCCCAGTTGTTTTCTCCCCTCACTTCAATCTCATTGATAGCCCTGGAATGATGCTCCCCACAGCCCTCCTCCAGGTGGCTATGTGCTAATGACTTGGCAAGTCATCTGGCCTTGCTTTTCTTCAAGCCCACAACCATTTCCCTAGTAAGTGCTTGTATCACTCATCTGAAAAATGAGTAGGGCCTTCTAGCTGGTTTCCAATACCATCACCTGATGCCAAACTACCTTTCATTCTTACTTTCAGCCTTCCCACCTTTACTACTGTCCTCCCTTATGCCTGGAAATACTACTTGCCCTTTAAGTCTTTAAGAAGCCTTCCCAAATGGCTCCAACCTTCAGTGCCCTGAGCTCTGGGTTCACTGTGCCACTTATTTGCCCCATGGCCCAGGCTGCTGCTGGGTTTCACTAGTTTCATGCATATCTTGCCTGCTGTCCTGAGCTGCTGGAGTGCAGAGCTCTCATGTTCATGACTGATGGCCCCTTCCCCAATTATGCCAACCAGCTATCTAACTGCTCACTCTGCACCCATGTACTTGGGTGTTTCCTTGTGAGTAGAACAGGAATGCCCACAAGGGCAGAGACAAGGGTGCAGACATTGATGAAGGCAGGATGGGCTGGCACAGACCCAGGGCCAGGCAAGGAGAAGCAGGAAGTGCTCCTGGAGCCCAGGTGGGGGCTGTAATGATGCACGAACACACCCTGGTCCTGACGATCTTGTTTATTAAAAAGTTTTAAGCAGAATTTTAGATGTAAATATAAAAGAGCAAATCTAGAGGTCTTGGGGACCATGGCCACAGTCACTGCTGAGCTGGAGGCCTGGGCTGTGGCTTCATGGGGCAGTGCCCTCCATGCTGCGCCTTGTACTCCCTGCACTTGGGGAAGGTGAAGTTTTAGTTTCCAAATGAGAAGGGCAATGAGACTCCAGGCAGCCACCTTGGGCGGCAGGATGGGACTTGGCAGCTAAGGAGCAGCAATGGTGCAGTCCTCAGAACTGGGAGGGTGGCTTTCCGGGAGACCTGGTGGTGCTGGGGCTGCCAGTGAATCCCGGGAGTGAGGATATGGGGAGAGCCAGCGCCTGCCAGCCCAGCAGAGAGGGAGGAAGGAGCCTGGAATGCGGGGAAATCAGACTGTCGGTGAAAGGAGAGCCCGGATTCTGGCCTCACAAGCCTGAGTAGGAGGCCTCTGAGGTCTCAGACCAGGATGAATCCCGGCGGGAAGACGATGGCTGCCTCTGGAGCCCTCTCTGGTTGGGGCAGCCCAGGCGCAAGAGCAGCATCCACATTCGCTCCCGGAACTTGACCCCTACAAAGGCATAGAGCAGCGGGTTGAGGCAGCAGTGCATGTAGCCCAGGCCTGAAGTGACTGATTTGGCCACGTCTACCTGGCTTTCTTGGCCACAGTTGCGGGCCAAGGTGCCTATGTCCATGAGGATGTCCACCAGCACCACCAGGTGATAGGGGGTCCAGCAGAGGGCAAAGGCCACCACGACCACCACCACCAGCCGCATGGCTCGCAGGCGACGCTGGCCCCTGGAGACCAGCAGCACGGCAAGGATGCGGGCGTAGCAGTAGGCCATGACCAGCAGGGGCAGCAGGAAACCAGCCACCAGCTGCAGCACCCGCAGAGCTGTGCGGCCCACCTGCGGGAAAGTGTACTGGCACTGGGTGGCGTTGAGGCGCTCGTCGTGGTGGGCTGACAGGAAGATGAAGTCTGGGAGGGCGAAGAGCAGGCAGAGCCCCCAGACGGCCAGGCAGGTGAAGGTCACGCGGGCCGGGGGCCCCCTACGGTAGAGCTGGGTGGCGTGCACTATGTTCAGGTAGCGGTCAAAGCTGATGCAAGCTAGCAGGAGGGCCCCTGCATAGAAGTTGATGTTGAAGAGGGCACCTGCCACTTTGCAGAGGCCAGAGCCAAAGACCCACTGAATGGCAGCATCCACTGCCCAGAGCGGGAGCGTCAGCACCAGCAGCATGTCTGCCACGGCCAGGTGGAGCAGGAAGGTGTCGGTGCTGCTCAGGGCTGCCCGCTGGCTCAGCAGCACAGCTGCCACCGTGCCATTGCCCAGGAGCCCCAGCAGAAAGAGGAGGCTGTAGAGGGCCGGCAGGAAGGCCCGGTCGAAGTTCAGGCTGAAGTCCTGTGGGCAGGGCGGGGAAGTACAGCACAAGTCACTCTCGTTTTCTCCATAGTCATAGGAAGAGCTGAAGTTCAGGAGGGCGGCAACCTCAGCCTCACTTAGCACTTGGCGGTCACTCACCTGCGAGGAAGGGAACAGGGAGGAAGGGGCTGTGTAAAGGCCTGACAGGAACTGCTTTGTAATTGCACCTGACTTCCTCTGTGATTGAGCAGCTTCTCCTGAAGGCAGGCCCTGCAACTGTCCCCGCCCGTCTTCCAGGGCCAGACCTCAACTCCGTCCGCTCAGCCTGGGCTCTGGGATGGTGACTTCCCTTCTCAAAGGCTGCTTCTCTCTCACTCTTCTGCATGATCCCATCAGCCCAGGGACCCCTGGGCAGGAGGAAGAATGTCCCTAAGGTGCCCAGAGCCTTCTCTGCCTGCTGTCCTCGCTCTCCCAGCTCTCTCTTCACGGCTTGCCTTGCGTCCTCAGTGCTCCACCCCGCCACCTAGTTCAACCACCTGCCTCTCTACAATTCCCTTTTCCAGTTATTGACCCTCTTCTTCCCTCTTCGGTTCTTCTCTGGGGACCCCAACTTCCTGCCCCCCATGTGGCCTCTCTATAAGTCACCACGCCCCCCAAATGCATGCAACTGGCACTGTCCTTCCCCTTCCCTACACTGAGGCTTGCGCAGCTATTTAGTTGCCCATGAGGGGATCCCCCACTGAGCTCGAGAAGAATCTTCTTTACCCCCTTACCCCCAGCACTACGGACCTGCAGTCCTCCCCAGCGCCAATTCAATCCAGCATGCGAGAGTCAAAGTTCCAAATCGGCTGAACAGAGCCTTAGAGTCTACCCGTCCCCTACCCCCATTTTGCAGGTGAGACACCAACGCCAGACAGGAGAGGAGAGACACCCAGGGTCAGTGGCCAAACTGGGTTCCCAATTCCCCATCTAGTGCTGTTTCTACCACAACCCATGGAGTCTCCAGCTACTCACCCAACCCTGTGGTGACCCTGGGCTATGGGCCAGCCCCGGCATTCCCCCAGTGCCCAGGGTTCTCCACTTTGAGCTCTGTCCTGGCCTGGCTGGGCAGCAGCACTTACCTCAAAGACCATGGCTGGGATGGTGCTCTGGCTGCTGGGTCATGTGCTACGTGCCCCTCTGCTGTGGTTGGAAACCTGCAGTCACAGAGGAAGTGGGAGTTTCAGGCAGTTCTTAGTAGCAGCCTCTTCCAGAGAGTC